CATCTGGAGTTTGTTTTTGTGTATGGTATGAGGTACAGGTCTTGTTTCATTTTTCTGCAAATGGATCTCCAGTTTTGCCAGCACCATTTATTAAACAATCATTTAAAGAATCCACTTTTATCAGACATTCTCACCAGGATTCTATTATTTCCATTCTTTGAGAAAATGCAGAGGAAGGCGAAATATTTTGTTTACATTCTGAATTTTATGAAATCCTTAAAGTAAGAAAAATTTTGGAAAATGTTGGCTCTTTTTGTTTTTCAGTCTGTTCCTATAGCTTAGAAAATCCCCATTTATGCCCAGAAAGAAATCCCACTTTTTTTTTAAATCCTGCTTTTACTACCAATTGTGGTTTTCCGCTGCCATTACTGAGCTTTTTGGTGATATTACTTTAGTTTGTTCTTGATTGAAGTTGACCTTTGTGATCTTTGAGGTTCTTTTATGATATCTTTTAGGTTGATCATATCATACATTCATATTTAAAGTAATGTCAACTAATTTTTAATAATTTATATAGGCCAGTTAAATTTAAAAATAGATGATACTGGATTTCTTATCAGACTACTCGAATTTTTCTGGTTTATTCTTGTAGAGGTTTTACAATGAGTGGCAAGTAGAACAGAGAATGTTCACTAGGTACTTTGTAGCATGTGGGTATTTTGTAAACTCAAAAATCGGTTGGAACTATGTATGTATAATAATAAATTCATACAGTTCAAAATGTAAAAGATAGGAAAAGTTACCAGTTTAGTTTAAAATTTACTATTTAGTAACTGCAAGTGGTCCCCGATTTACCACATATCTGGGTTTTGATGAATGGCGTTTGTGACTGTCCCTTTTTTTTTTTTTTAAATGTACATCTTATTATTGTTGTTACATGCTGTCGAGTTGGACAGACCCATAATAACCCCTCCTTGGGTTTCTGAGGCAGTATCACTATGGAAGTAGATTGCCCAGCCTTCCTTCCGAGGAGTGGCTGGTGGGTTTGAACTGCCAGCCTTCTGGTTAGCAGTCAAGTGCCTTAAGCACTATGCTATCAGAGCTCCCCAATGTACATCTTATAGTTTGTAGTATGTACTACATACAATATTTCAGCATGTGATTTGCTGGTGATGTTATTCTCGTGCCAACCCCGAAGACAAAGATCAGACTTTTAAAGATACTGATAATAAAAAGCAATAATAAAACTGAAAATCAATAAACAAGATGTTCAACTTAGTCAAAATCAATTTATGATGTAGTTTTTGGAAGGGACCCCAGTCATAAGTTGGGGACTGCCTACACATGTCTTTATTGAGAGTTTCCTCTTTGTAGTTCTTCAGAGTTTGCTTATTGTGAAGTAGGTTTGATTCACAACTTTAAATGATGCCTTTTTACCTTGTGTATTGACCTTTTTTTGACACTATGTATTTATATTTCACTGAATTTCTTTCTGCTTTGACTAAGGTACAGCTGGTTTTAAAATATTTTACATGTGCTTCACCATAATTGTGATATGCAAACTTAGTTTTTAAAATGCCACTTTTTAAAACAACATGGTGTCTTTTGGGAGAGGATTAATTTGGGGCAGGTTCTAATGTTCTCTAGCCCCCCCCCCCCTTATTTTCCTTTGCTTGATTTCAAACAGTAGAGAGAATATTATTTGAACTGTTATGCTGAAACCAAACCCATTGCCGTCAAGTCAATTCTGACTTACAGCGATTCTATAGGACAGAGTAGAACTGCCAGAGAGGGTTTCCAAGGCTGTGAATCTTTTCAGAAGCAGACTGCCTCATCTTTTTCTGTGAAGCGGCTGGTGGGTTCAAACTGACTACCTTCTCGTTAGCAGACAAATGCTTTGACTACTGTGCCAACATAGTTCCAATGTGAATCCTTAGGTGTGTGTTTTTTTTTTTGTCCCCCACTTTTATTGTGGTGAAAACATACACAGCAAGAGATTCACCAACATAACAACTTCCACATTTTACAGCCCAGGGACATTGATGATATTTTTCATGTTGTGCCACCATTATTGCTGTTCTTTTCCAAAATATTCCACCACCATTAGCGTGTAAACTCAGTGTTCTATGAACAAAAGCTTCCCCTTTTCCTCTCCTTCCTATCCCTGGTAACCACTAATAATCTGTGGTGTGTGTGTGTGTGTGTATATATATATGTGTGTGTGTGTGTGTGTGTGTATCTATGTGGGAGCTCTGGTAGCATAATGCCTAAGGTACTTGACTACTAACCAGAAGGCTGGTGGTTCAAACCCACCAGTTACTGCTGGGAAGGAAGGTTGGGCAATCTACTTCCATAGTGATACTGCCTTGGAAGCCCAAGGGAGGGGTCGCTATAAGTTGGATCCAACTCCACAGCAGTGAGTTTGTTTTTTGGTTTTTATGTATCTATGTATATATATGTGTGTATGTGTGTATATTATATATGTATTTTGTGTGTGTATATATGTTGTTGTTGTTAAGTGCCGTCGAGTCGTTTCTGACTCATAGCGACCCCATGCACAGCAGAACAAAACACTGCCTGATCCCGCGCCAGCCCCACAATCCCTGCTATACTTGAGCCCATCATCGAAGCCACCGTGTCAATCCATCTTGTTGAAGGCCTCCCCCTCTTTCATC